GAGAGGCAAAACCTGAGGGAAGGCAGTGAAAAATCTAAAAAGCACAAAAATCTACCAGGATCTGAGGAGGAATAAAGGTCAGCCAAAGCTCTGAGCAAGCAGCAGGTGGAGCAGGGATTTATCCAAGCACAACTCAGCTGTGACAGCAGGAGCCTTCTGGGATTAACCAGCTCTTGGTAGGTTTTTCCACGAGCACAGATGTTTGGCTGAAGGTCACCTGCCTAAGCCTCAGCTTTGGGGCTCTTTTTCCACACTTCATTTAGTGTGCTGCTCCAGCAGCCCCAGCTCCCATTGAACACAGCTCTTTGCATGCCTGCACCTCCTGCTTGGGGTGCTCCAAGGCACCAGGGGCCAGGCAGAGGTGGGAGAGAGCACCGTGTTCCCACAGCAAGGAACATGAATGACACACAYAGGAATGGGAAGCAGCTTGAACAGTTCTAAATATATGAGCTGGGCAGCTCTGGGATATAAAACACACCACAAAAAAAGCGGGGTGTGTGGAATTGAGGAGAGGTGCCAGCTTCAGCAGGAAATCYAGCATGGAAGTGGGATGGCAGATGACAGCGTTGTGAGAAGGGAACAAAGCAAAGCAGGGGAGATTGGGCAGCAGAAGCAGGAACCAGAGAGGTTGTGGATTCCCCATCCCTRAAGTGTCCAARGCAAGGCTGGRCAGGGCTTGGAGCACYCTGGGATARTGGRAGCTGTCCCTGCCCATGGCAGGGGGTGGAACAAGAYGGGCTTTAAGGTCCCTTCCAACCCAAACCATCCTGGGATTCTGTAAAACCTGAGCCCAAGGGGCTGGGAGATCCACAGGCAGGTGAAAGGCACACAAACACAGGACACACCCCAAAGATTTCCCCCTTCCCTTCCAAAAAGTGACTGGGCCATAAAACCCGCAGTGCCCGTTACCAGATGCGGCAGGTCCGGGGATAATCCTCATTCCTCGATATCACTCCCATGGGCAGCACGAAGGGCTGGGTAGCTGGTGCCTTGTCCTGGGTGGTCCCCTCTGCCCCAGATGCAGTCTCCTCCCCCTCAGCACCTTCTCCTCCCAGGGGACTGGCAGGCTGGCAGGCAGCTTGCTGGGAATGCTGCTCTTCCTCCTGCTGCTGCTGCTGCTCCTCCCGCCGGACCTGCTCCTGCACCTCCAGCACGATGCGGGACAGCTCGCTGAAATCTCGCAGGTTCTCGATGTCAGGCAGCTGCAGAGGATGGGCCAGGTCTATCTCCACAGTCTGCTGTCCAGCTGGGATGTTGGGATCTCCCTGGGGACAGGAAGGAACAGTACAGCTGCACACACCGAGTTCTATGGAGCCATCACCTGGCTTATTCACAGCTCACCCTACAATCACCAAGCTGGCAACAAAAAAAAAACCATTTAGACCTTGTTTGCTGTTGTCTGACATCTCTGCTTTCCCTTTCCCAGAAATAGAACTTTAAATCAAAAGCTGTACTTGCAGCTGCAGCTGCATTTCAGCAGAATCCCCTCCCTGCAGGGAGGAAGGAGCTCCCCTGCCTGACTCCAGTGAAGAGCTGCCAGCATCTGGTACCTGCTCCTCAAACACACACAGGGGATCTCCAGTGACCTGCTACCAGCTGCTCACAGAAAGCAGCTGGAAGGGAGAGAAAAGGAAGGGGGAAACAGGARAAACTTTGCAGAGCAGGTTCTGGTTACTCTGCATGTGCTGTGAGATTCACCCAATGCCAGCAAACCCCACAGGGAACAGGGTTTGGGCTGGCAGCTCCCAGACAGACATCTCTCCTATGCAACCATGGCACTGAAAACACTTCAACAAGCACCTGAGAGAAAGGAAAATGCACTCACAGTGATTTTGGTGCCCTTGGCTTTCCTCCCATGAAAGCTCAGCATGACAATCTCCAGCCCGTGGCTGCCRTAGGTGCCTTTGAAGAGGCCTGGCTGGATGAGGTCGTCGGGGCTGCTGGGGGGGAGGTAGATGCGCCGGTACGTCAGGCAGTTGCTGTGCAAGAGAAAAACGTCAGGGAAGTCAAGAAAAAAACCCCTCAGCACCAGCAGTGTGTTTGCATTCTGCTCCTCCAGCAGCTTGGGGATGCTGTCAAGGCAGGCAGGATCGGTGTTTTTAGCAATGCAAACAAGCTCAGCGGATTTGCGCTTCCTCCCTCCCTTCACTTCTCTCCCCACCACCCTCGTGAGCACACCAGGAGATTCCTGCAGCAWGGAAACCTCCTCAGCCCTTGAGATTGCCAGAAAACCTCAGAGTGGAGCATATTTAAACATCTGCTGCAGTGAGGTGGCTGCTAATGGAAGCTGGGAGAGATGGTTGAAATCCCCCAGTTTCTCAGGGACTCTCTGATTCCTGCACTACAAAGCACGCTGACTAATATGGATAATAACCACACACTCCTTGGGATCTCAGGCATTTGCTCTGTCTTCACATTAAACACAGTTAAAYGGCTCAAAAGCGCCTTACTGAGCACAGTTATTGTGTAGAACTTGGAATCCTATTCCTACTGCTGTCATCCCAGCTCATCTCCCTGTACAGCTGGAAAGCACTGCAGAGACACAACATTCTCTGGCTGTGAGAGCTCATGGAAAACCCCAAGGAAAAAAAAAAAAACTTGGGGAAAAATGCTCCAGTGKGCTGTGAAGGTGCAGCAGCCTCACTACAAAGAGCAGGAGCAACTTACTCATATTGGCTGGTGTAGATGAAYTTCATGAGGATGAGCTCCTGCATGTGCTCGTGGAAAATGTCTTCCAGAGTCCGACCCCACTCCTCCCTCAGCCACGTCCGGAATTCCTGCAGCACGAGGAGAAAATGGGGAAGATGAGGTCATTTCAGTGATGTGCCCCAAGATGGCTTCACTCTGTGGCTCTGTGGCAGCACATTTGCCTGGCAGAGGCACAGAAAGGGAATGTGCTCTGCCAAAGACAGGGGAATGCAGCTGGATTTGGGAACGAGCACGTGTTGCTGCAGAGCTGGCTGGGAAACAGGCTTAACAAACAGAGTGCCAGTCAGCACATCATAAACAGGCTCCCCYTCAAATAAATCCCAGGCACAACCATAAACCTCCCAGAATAAAAGCATGAGCATGGTCTGTTACTGCAAAGTAGYTCGTCTACTCTTTCTTTCACAGTAACTCATTTGTGTGCCCACAAGCTGACTCCTGTGCCCTGTCCTGACATGCTCAACAGAAAAGAAAAAGCTTTTGAAAAGCACTGAGGGTTTAGGAGGTTAAATCCTGCTGATTTAATACTGATGCATCTAAATCCAAAGGGTGCTTTGAAAGCATCTCCTGAAGTACCCCAACTGCAGCTCTGACAAGTTAATACCCAGCCATGAGTTGGTGTGATAACAGCTTACACTGCGATAGCAGCCTGCCAAGTGATATTCCAAACCTGCCTGCTTTATCTTCCCAAGCCAGATCCTCCAATTACCATAATGCCACGCACACTCAACGTGCTGCTTTGAAAGTATTAAAGCATTTCTCATCTGCTCCAGCACCAGAAAACACTTAACTAAACCTTTCACCCAGATGCTTGCCATTAGCATGCAGACATTTTGCAGCATTCCTCAGAAGCAGCTGAAATATTGGATTTGTCCTGGCACAGGTATCCATCCTGACATTTACAGCTGCACCTAAACACAGGTATTCCAGTCAGGAATCTGCCTGGCTGGGCAGAGCTGACAGACACAGGAGAAACAACCAAATGAAGCTTTTAATCCCTGGAGCAAGACAAGCAGAGRGAAGGTGCCCCACTGACCAGAAGTATCCAAGTGCAGCTGGTGCTCCCTGTGTTTGAAAGATCTTAATTACACAGACAGCWATGCCACAGAGATCAGTGCCTGGAGTGCTGTGTGATGTCCAAAATGTGCTGCTGTCCCTCCCTGGACGGATCTGCCACCAAAACAGCAGCAGGGTGCTGGGGCTCAAAGAGCCTGACACAGAAACCTGCCAAAATCAGGCAATCAGCCCAAAGCTCCCAGCCTGGCTTTTCATGTATGCTCAACCACACGGAAATGAGAAGGGAGAAGGGCATCTCCCAGACYCCAAGAGCAGCTGAGAGCTGAGAAAAGGACACACAAAGAGCCTCAGCCTGGCAGAGCACTCACCTCCTGCCGTCCCCCTGACATCCGGTGGTGATCYGTCTGGTTGCACTTGGTGGAGAACTCGTCCTTCTTTACAATCTGTGGTTACCATGGAGGAGAATTGAGCAGGTTACAGAGCTGGTTTGAGATGCTTTGGRTGATGTAGCTAAGACTGCTCATGGTAAATGCTTTACAAAACAAACATTGCTGGGTTTGCTACAACACAGAAATCATTCAGTGATACCGAGCGCAGCAGCTACAGAACACAGAAATAAAAGCAATAAAACCAAAGGCACTCTAATGAAAATAACAGCTTTAAGCTTCTCTATTTCAGCTTCCTCCTTTAAAGAAAAACAAACAACCTGTCAGGAAGCTTTTAAAGCATCCAATGGATGCTGCATTCCCTTCTCAAGGTGTCACCACAGAGAGCTGCAGGACAGGTCTGTGTCTGCCTGGGCACAGTCACCACCCATCCAGGGCCACTTTACACATCCCTGCCCCAGCCTGTGCACATCCTGGTGCTCCCAGCCTCCCACCATGCCCCAGCCGAACAGAAAACAGCACAACAGCCTGGCTGTGCCATTGCCAGGAACAAAYTCAGAGCAGGGAACAGCCCACACAACTTGTCAGACACATAATGAGTGTAAAGCTGGCACCCACACACACAACAGGGTGGTGAAAGCCACATCTCTGAAAWAACATCCTCCAGYTTTCTGATGAATCCACTTYCAGAGCTGAGTGCACAGAGAGGGRCAGAGGAGCTCACCTGGATGTGGCCATTGTGAGGTCCCTTGTGGCCATACATGCACTCCACCGTGGCACATTTCCTCTCCATSAGATGAATCCTGAAGAGGGGTTTGAATCTCATGGGATCATCCACGTGAGGGTCGTGAGGAGGCAGGTACATCCAGCCAATGATGAACAAACCATCCACCTGCAGAGGGACAGGACACAAAGCCCACGAGATCAGCCTTGCAGGATTCCTCATGAATTTGCAGCAAACTCTGGGGCCTCTTGTGGCCCATGGCAGGAGCTGCAGAACAGTTTGCTGTGCTCCCAAACAGCTTTCCAGCCTTTAACCCAGACCATATGCACTCCCTGGGAGAAGAGAGGTTCTTTATGAGGTTTCCTGCACCACTGGAAAAAGCTCAGGCCTTTATTGCTGCAAACGACTTGCCTGGAGTGCAGGATCCAGAGGGGGAGACCACCCAGCAAGGCAGACTCTAATTGGTTTGAGAGCTCCTGCTGGCAGATATTCCAGCAGATGAATTCTGCTTCCTGTGATTATCCCTGCCTTTTGGAGGAGGAATTATTTGGCTCTGTTACTCAGACAGAGCACAGGAAGCAACACTCTCCTCCACTGAGAGGCACAAGTGCCAGCCCCTCTCCTGCACTCCCAACAGAATCCTTCCCCTCTGCAATTCCACAGGCAGGATATTCTCCAAAAAGAGGGATCTGAGAAGGCAGRGCAGTCCCACAAAGACTCTGTCAGGTCACAGTGGAAGCACTGATGCAGTTGGACCCCTCTAACACAGTTCATGGAACAGAATCTTGCAAAACCCGAAGACCTCATGATTTGTGATGGCTCAACCTGGTGGTTACTGAACCTTGGTGCAGAGCACAGGGCTCCAGGCAACTCCTCCCTCAGCTCTCACCAGCTCAGAGCCAAATATTGTTCATTAACTGCTCTCCCAGCAGCACCAGAGCTGCCAGAACCCACAGATCTTGCACCAGGGTCACTCCAATCTGATGCACAGTAAAGGTTTGCCAACCACACAACTGCAAAACCCTTTGTGAAAGGTTCGGCTCAAGCAAAGAAAATGAATAGATTCCTGTGGCAGCCACTGGAATATCAGCATTTAAATCAATCCTTTCCCTCAAACATTGATCGTGTTTTCTGTGTGGTCCTGGGGCTCTTTGGGGTATAGCTGAAAGGTAAAAGAACTGACTGGAGAAAGGTGATGATGAYAAAAAGAATCCCAGAACTGCTTAGGCTGGAAAGGTTATCGAGTCCAACCAGTGAGCAATCCCCACCCCGAGCAATGAGTGCCACATCCACTCCAGGAATGGGAATTCCACCACCTCCCCCATTCCTGTGTTTAACAACCTTTCCTGTGAAGAAATTCCTCCTRATGTCCAAYATKAGAGAAACCAAGAAAGCACCAAGGAGCAACTTCTGGGTCCAAATCACTGGCTTGAGGGCTGACTGTTCAGACTCCTTAAGGGTGTGGAAAGTCTCCAAACCAGCCCTGAGTGCTGCAAAGGCCCGGGCTGAGGTACTCACTCACCACCACGTTCAGCAGTCCCCCGTAGGGTCCAATGTCTGGCTGCCACAATCCCAGGATGTGCCGGTACCGGTGCAGCACTAGGGAACAGGGAGACACTCCAGTGAGCACAGCCAGCCAGRAATCAGGATTTTGGGGATGAAAAGGCTGCTCCCAGTGCTGGCCAATAGCACCCACACTGCCTTTGCTCAGGAGAATGAGCTGTGTGCCAGCCCAACCAGGCAGCTCTGAGCAAGGCTTCCCACAAGCTCACACACACAGAAATTCTTTGCTCCCAGCCCTGTGCAAGGGTGGAACCACCTACCTCACCAGGAACTCCCAGAAAACTTKTGCAACACRATGCCATTAATGCAAATCACACGAYAGAATCAGAGCTAAAAACAAAGGAAAGCATCTGCTGCCTTCAGGGACCAAAAATGCACTCGGTGCTTCACACTGCAAAGCAACAGAAAATCAGGACGGGCAGGAAGGCAGGAAATTGGAGTGTTTTGAAAGCATTTCCCTGCCTGGTGTAAGATAAACTTGGCTCCAGAGTTAAGCATCCCTAAAAACAGCCACTGGAAGCATGGGCAAAGCACACAGATCACTCCAGCTTGGGAATGTGGTGGAGTGGGCAGCTCAGTCACGGCCTTAAAAATGCTACAGAAGCAGCTACACATCAGCAGTGCCCCAAAGCTGCTTCCAAAACCCACTCCAAATCTACTGCAGGACTTGAGGCTTCTCTGTTTCTCATCCCAGAGCCAGGTGTCCCTTCAACCCCACCTAAATAAAGGAATATTTTCAGCAAGCAGGAGAAAAGGGCTGTTACAGAGTGATCTTAAACCTCCTGCTGTAAGCAAAGCTTAGAGATGGGATCTGCCTCCAGCCCTTACACAGCCATTCCTCTTGTCCAGCTCATTTCCTTCTGTCCATCTAATTTCCTCACAGGACCAGCAATCTTCACAGGAAGACATAACACAGCCTGGCATTTTGGGCAGGAAGAACAGGATGCACATTATTTCCATGAAGATGGCAAGAAGATATTTCACAGGCCTTCCAGTGATGTCCAYGGCCAATTCAGAAGGCCACAATAACTCATTTTAACCTCCAGGACTGGCTTGAATAATAGGCTTGGGTTTGCATCAATTTAAAAGAAAAATTGAGTTTCAGTGMAGCTGTTCCAGCAGCTTTGTTTCATTAATTACTTCAGGCAGCAAGAACTACACGAGTGGTTTTATTCCACCAAAGTAAGAAGCTCAGGASAGCAGGGAGGGATGTCCAGAGCTGCTGCCAATTGGCCTGGAGGAGCTTTTTCCCTGGGCAATGTCACACTGATGGCCTGGTTTCACCCAGGGCACCAAGTGCAGCACAAACAGCACCAAGGCAGGCAGGCAGAGCTCATTCCCAGCTCAGTAATTACACATTAATTAATGGGATGAGCTGCTCCTCCCACCACAGTCTGCCTTCTACCCTGTCTGCCACAGAGCTSATAAAACCCAGCTTTTTAATTTATTCGTATTTTTAGGACAGAAAATGAAGTTATGCAGGGGGAATGAGGATGTCCCTCCTAGCCCAGCTCCTGTTAGGAGCAATTTCAGGAAACTGGAGGCCAAAAAAAATCCCATTCACTTCCAGAAGTTACTGGGGAAAATGCTGGTGCTTGGCCAAAGGCCCAAACAAGTCTCACAGCAAAAGCAAAGATCAGTTTTCAAGCCTGGGCTGTCTCTGGGTTCCAACAAAACAGCAGCTAATGTTCACTGCAGGGAAAACCTGATGAATTCCAGCTCTGGCTTTCCTGGTAGGAGACAAGATGGATCTGACAGTTGTTCCCCTTYCTGCTCCTCGAAAGAAAACAGCACTTGGGTTTTTCTCCAAGGTTTTCCACTGCCTGTGCTCAGTCCTGGAGAAGCCTCTTGCCTGTCCAAATTCCTGAGCTCACGTCCTGCCAAATGGAGCAAAACCACATCCACTGGATGCTCCAGSACAGCCTTCATCCAGCCTGGATATTCCACAAGCAGCCCTGCAGGTTCTTCAAATGGGAAGAGGGCTTGAATCCAGCTGAGGATGGGTTTGGAAAAGCAGGRAAAGCCAAGTTCCCACTGCCAGGAGGCTGCCTGGGGAAGGCTCTGCCCAGGAAGGACCCAATCCACTGAAATTCTCCCGAATTCCTGGGATGCAGGAAGGTCTAGGTAAGCAAAATGAGCTGGAACAATGTAAGCAGTGGCCAGGGTGGTGATACCTGAGCTGCTCTRGGAAGAGCTCAGGGTAATCCAGGTGAGCTTAAATCCCTGGGGAAAGTGATCTGAGCTCACCTGGCTGACACTACCTAAGCAGCACTTTGGGAACACTTCCATGGAAAATTCTGACAACACAGAAAGGGACAAATGGACCTTTGCTCTTCAGCCACAACTTAAAGAACCATAAAATCATTCAGGTTTGAAAAGATCATCAAGTCCAAGCTTTTCCCCAAGGAACACAACAAAAGGGGCACATCAGAAGTTCAGGGCTGCCGGTGAAGAATTAGTAACTGAGGGAAAAACATTAAATGCCATTTAGGAGCCATCATMAACAGCACATTTGGAGCAAACATCCAATCTCCAAAGAAATCCATCATCCTGCAGCTTGGATGTCTTCTCCTTGCCATCCAGCCCTGGAATATGGTATTGACAGGCACCCCAGGCTGCCAAACCCAAACCTTTGTCCCAGTTCCTRCTGCAGCCCTGCTGCTGGTGTGTCCTGACTCACATTGAAATCCCCACATCCCCTGTTTGGTTTCTTCCCCCTCAGCACAGGGAATTCTGCAGCATTCACTCCCTCATTAATGTGTGTGAAAAACTCCACTCCCAAGCAGTGGTGAGTTAGTAAGAGGAGCCTGCCAAACTCTGCAGACCCAAAGGAGCATCAGAGGCAGCTCAACACCCCCTCCAAATAAACACCAAACACTCCTGGCTTCCTTAATTGATGTAAACTAATTAGTCCTTCCCCCTCAGTTCCTGCTGAACGCTGAACTCCAAGCRTTTGACTATTCCTCCCTCAGCACAACATGAAGAGGGAAAAAAAAAAGGTGAGGAAGGCAAATCACAATCTTTAAAACATTAGCAGAACGTTTCCTAGAGACAGACATGGTGCTTCAAAGGATTCAGTGTGCAGGGAGGGAATTACTATGGGAACACTCAGCATTTTTCACTGGAAAAGGCTGYGGATCTGACTGTGTGTGGCTCACTCAGATCACAACAAAACTCTCTGCCAGTCCAGAGCTGCTTTTGGGAGGCCTCATGTTGTGGCTTATGAGACACCTCACCAGAGTATCTGAACATTTTCCTCTAAGAAAAGAGCAATTCCTAGCGAGCAGAGTGAGTAAAAGAGATTCTCAACAAAAGCCCCCCCCAAGCTCAGTGCCTGCCCTGCTCCTGCTGTCCCCCCGCAGGGTCACAGCGCTSCTCCAGCACACACCACACCCCACGGGTGGCACCTCCCTGCTGTCCCAAAGGATCCCCAGGCCTCTGCTCCAAGCCAGGGCACACTCCATGCAGCATCCCGGGCGTGCTGGGCGCAGGCAGCAGCAGGGTACGTACGGCAGGTGTAAACATCTCTGTACTCCATGTGCTCGTAGTCGGGCAGGATTTTCATAAAACGCCCCGACTTCACCCGTGGGTTTATACCTGAACAGACAGAGCAGGGTGAGTGCCAGCAAACTCTGCTCCACTGGGACCAGCAAACAGTTCCATGGATCTGGACCGACCACCAGCTCTCTCCTTGACTTTGCTTCCAGTTGTTTCCATCACCCCCAGTCTCACGTGAGCAGGATTCCTCACACAGAACTTTCAGATTCCCACAGACATCATTTATAAATGGCATTTACTGAATTAAAGCCTTTCCTCAAACTGTGCACTGCTGCCTCAAGAACTCCAAGTAACTCCATGGACAGCAGCCCAGGCCTTGGATTAGTTCTGCTTTCAGGCACTCGAGCTCAGTTYCCATTTTCCCACACCATTTCTCACAGAAGCAAACTCAGTGAAGGCAATAATCCCAAATTAACTCCTCTACAATTAAAGAGGTTTATGGGACAGTAGAGAAAATGGGGTGACACCAGCAGGAAACTGCTCCTGGCAMAGGGCAAAGCTGCATCTGAGCAGAGGAGCTGAGATGGTGCATCCTGAAAATCAGGATCGACTGCCAAGTGTTCCCACTTTGGAGCAACCATCACTGCTTGGGATTGCTGGATGGATCTGGACAAAAACCTTACAGAAAAGTGAAGGAAAACCCATCCCAAGGGTGGGTCTCACATATCAAGTGTGACTCTTTGCTAATGGATGCCATGGATTTGGAAACCACTCATGGGAACAAATGTGTGAGACAGATCTATGGCAGGTTATTAAATAAACAAACTGAAAAACCTGGGAACAATGAGAATGTTTAGGAAAATATCCCACRGGCTCGCCCTCTCCTCAGCCTCCCTGCCCACAGTCATGGGAGATACTGGCTTAGAGAATCACTGCTGTCCTGAGGCAATAAGGCCATTTTTACTCACAATGCATAAAAAGCATTAAATATCACTTTAGTATCTCCAAACCATGGAAATTGTGCAGTGAAAAGCACTAAAGGTCRTGAAGAGATGTTGTCCCAATGAAGAACTGAGATCTGACCTGGTTTGTGCTGTGTGGCTGTCACCACACCAGTGCCACACTAAAATAGGGGATTAAATGGGAATTAAGGGAGGGTTAATGGGACTTCTCTGGGGACATCTGTGTGCTGGCTCAGCATTAGTCGGCCCTCCAGCCAGGAAAATGTGGCTTTTCCATCCCTAGTGTGGTGTATAACAGGGAAAGACAAATATTAGATGATGATACGATGTTCCTGTGGATGCTCAGCAAGTCTGTTAAAGATGGGATTAAACCCTTTCTCCCTGTTCTTCACAGCTTTAAGGTCAATGTTTGAGGTCATTGCTGCTTCAAGGCTCTAAAGGGCCCCACATCCACAGCCATTCCCAAAACACAGAAACTCCTGCCAGGCTCTCCTCCTTCCCTTTCCCACTCTACTACACCCATTTCCTTTCACTGAGACCAAGGCTTAGAAAAAAAAAAAAAAAACATTAATTCCTTAGTAAGGTCTGAAAATTGCAAAAAAAGGATGAAAAACTATGAATACACTTTATTAAAAAAATTAAATTACATATTCTTTTCTCAGCAAAGGATTGGGAGGCACAGAAATCCCAACTCCTGGCATCTGCTTAGTATGAAATAAAACTCCAAACATGTCAAATTCCCAGTGAAAGCCCTGCAAGTCAGTCTGAATAACTTCTGCCACCAAAGTTTTAATAAATATTCAACATTTCTGTGCTCTCAAAAATGGAATTCAGCAAGGTTTGGATTGGTTTTGTCACTCACGTTTGGCGTAAACATCTCGGCAGGACACTCCTGTGATCTCCAGCTTCCTCAGGTTTTCACACACTCCATATTCTGCAACAACACAGAAAAAAGGGTCAATTCTGGCACAAAGAGGACTTAAACCCAAGGTCTTGATATCAACTACTGAGATCTGACCAGGTGCATTCTYGAAGCTGCCAAAGTAGACCAAATAACTTATTTTTGCTTTAAAAATGATGCGATTTTGTTACACATTCCACCAGCAATGCCTGCAACAAACACACCATAAGGCACAAACACACCCAGCACTGTCACAGCTGCTCACAGCTCAGCYAGAAAAGTGTGAAATGTGGGAGACATCCCCATTCCAGCTGGGATTGGGAGCCTGTTTATGGCAAATCACTGCCATGCACAGCAATTACCTGMTCCCACTGGGGTACCCAGCAGGGAAAACCGCTCATTAGGATCCCAAAGGAAAGGTCACAGACTTGAAAAAGAATGAAATGGAGACATAAAACAGGCCCCAGCGTGTACAAATATGGTTACACTTGAAAGCAGATCAGATTGAGATGGGGCTGTTGTACAGTCAGATGCTTTTGATTGCTTCCAGAACCCCCTGAAAACAAAGGGAGTCGGAGATCTCGGAGCGGCTTTGAAGCGGAAAATGAGATTCTCTCCTTTTATTTTCAGGAAGTCAGTGTTGAACTTCTAAGAAACTTCAAAAAAAAAAAAAAAAAAAATAAAGCAAGTATTAATGTGTTGATGCCAGAAATCCTCAGAAGAGCAGAGGGAGGAAATGAGAGGGAGATCCCAAAAAATCAGCAGTGACAATGCCACCCTGCTGCAGTGACCCCAACATATCTCAGTACAGAAAACTGCCCTCCTTGGCATCAAAGACATCAACAGCACAGATCAAACAGCAGCTTTCCTCAGCAGCACAAATATCTGCCAGATATTTGACACAAAAGTGTCTGTGCAGACTCTCATCAGGCCATTAAATATGAAATTTATCCTTGGCTGAGCATCCTTGAATTAACAACTGTGGCTGTGAAGCACCACCTAACGCTGGAAACCCGCTGCAGGAGAACTCAGGTTCCATAAATAACAAAAGCAGAAGTTTTCCTGAATCAATKCAGCCTCCTCCTGTCTATAAATATAAGTACACGATGTGAAAGCACACAGGATTTACTGTCAGCTGGTCTCCAGGGAATACCCATCCTGCACACATCGCTCTGGGTGAGGGTGGCACGGGTGAGGGTGGGCACAGAGCACAAAAAACACAGTGCCCTTCAGCAGAAAACACAAAGGGCACAGCAGAATTGCTGCTGACTTCCACAGGCAAAGCCAGAGGAAGCTCTGAGTGTTATCGAGCCCAAGGTGGGCTGAGGAAGCACAATTAGGAGAAGCCAGACGAGCTCGCAGGAAGAGCAGCCTGGCACAAACAAACCATTTAGTGCTGGGTCTGTGCCAGCTGAGCCCTGCAGATCCATGAAAACAGAGCTCCAGAATGCACACCCACCCTGCCAGAGCCTTCCCAGCAGCTCAAACACATCCAAGGGATGCAGGAGCAGCAGGGAATGTCCTCAGCTGATGGGAATGTCTTGGGAAGAGGGAAGGAACAGCTGCTTTTGGGAACAGGCAACTCTTTTCCATGTAAACAAACACTCACCTGGCCCCAGGACAGGCAGGGTAAAGTCAGTCAGGGAAGGGATTAGGAAATCATGGGACAGGGAGGATCCTGCCCCAATGGAATCTCTAACAGCACTGAGAGTGACATTCCCTCCTCCTCCAGAAGTGCTGATTTGTCCCCCAAGCCTTCTCCCTAACCCAAAAATCACTCAAGTGAGTGCCATGGGAGACCCAGCACCAGCAGGGACCTCCAAATAACAGAGTGGGGTGGAAGTGATTTGATGTCAAAGCTTCATACAAAGCTGACAACCTGCAGTGAAATTCTATGAAAGCCAAACCATTATTAAAGGGGTTGCAATTCCAATCTTTCTTGGGAAGGCTCAGATTTATTCCAAGTAATAACAAACTCCTTAAAAAAACACAAAAATTGAGGATTCCTATATTGCTACACATTATTTGACATCAGATATCCAAGCCTTATTATCAAGAAAAAATAATCTCATTTT